TTACCTCGAGTTGCGACCAACTCGAGTTGCAACCAGAGTCACGGAACGGATTAAGTTCATAACTAGAGGTACCACTGTATTTAAAAACTTTAATTTATTTAAATTACTGCAACAATTCTTAACTTCTGTAGAATATGCACCAAATCCTTCAGGGCTTCTGAAAAATACAGTATTCTTCTGAAAGTAATTATATCTTTGGGGGTACCAGTAAAATAAACCAAAACGTTCACCAAAAAGAATATTTAGTAGTAATCCTACCAAATCATCCTGGTCTTCAATCCATAGAAGTTCAGAAGCTCTAAACCGACTGCAAGAAGAATTTGCCTCTTCCCATGTTTTAAAAGCACGTACAAAATAGTAACAATATCTGTTCCAGTAGCGCCATTCATTTATATCTGGGCATCTCTCACTGATAGAAGCTTTAAAAATAAATACATAACAAATCATTTAATCCTGATATCAAGGGACAATGAGCTACTTCACTGATGTCATGCATTCATTCTTTTTGATCAGAGCTTGAATCCTCAGACCATTCACTCTATACATATCAATCCCCAAATAGAAAGTGTTACCTGAATACAGTTAGTCCTCGACTTACAACCACAAGGGACCAGAATTTCAGTCGCTAAGCGATGTGGCTGTAAAGTGAGACGTCAAGTGACCGCATCGCTTAGCGCTCACAATCCTGGCAATCCCCATTGCTGCGTTAAGCAAATGCAACCTGTCATTAGCTGAGGACCCACCCCAATCCAAGCCATTCCGGGCTTGGTCCCTCCCAGCCCCGAGCCTCACTAAGATAAGAGACTGCCTCCAACTCCCCCACTCACCTGTTTTCCATTTCTGCCCTTTTGGCCGCTCTGCACCCTGCCTTGTGGGGCAGCAAGTAGCCCAGAACCACATGGCTCTGGGGCTGCTTGCCATACCCTGGGAAGACACAGCCATCCCAGCCCATTCCCAGTCACCCTTGCCACCCTGCACTCCGAGACCCTTAACACCCTGCACTCCACTACCCCAGCTGACCTTCCTTGCTGTCTTCTTGCTCCTGTTGCTGACGAGTTATGTCTGGCCTGGCCACTGGACCATATGGGGCTGGCTTCATGCAACAAAAAAGGAAAAAGAAGCACAAAGCAGCTTAAAGGGGCCAGTGTGCCAAAATGCCCCTTTGCACCACACTCCTGGGCCCTATAGGGCTGGCTTTGTGCGGCAAAAAAGAAAAAAAAAGCCGAAAGCAGCCTTTTTTTTCTTTTTTCACAGCACAAAGCCAAAGAGACATTTCTTTGCAAAGAGCTCTTGGGCAGTACAGGGGCTGGCTTTGCGCTGCAAAAAAGGGAAAAAAGGGCTGCTTTCGGATTTTTTCCCCTTTTTTGCAGCACAAAGCCAGCCCTATAGGGCCCAGGAGCAGGGCACAAGGTGGTGTTTTGGCACGCTGTGGCCCCTTTAAGCTGCTTTGTGGGTTTTTTTTTTTCTTTTTCACCACATGAAGCCAGCCACATATGGCCCAGTGGCCAGGCCAGCCTTGTCAGCCACAGGAGCAAGAAGATGGCGGCGAAGGTCAGCTGGGGCAGCAGAGTGCAGGGCAGCAGGGGGCATAAAGGGCATAGATGGGGGAGAGGGGTGGGGGGAGTTGCAGCACCCCTGCGGTCATAAATGCTGGTGGGCTGCCAAGCACCTACATTTTGATTACGTGCCTGCATGGGCACTGCAACGGCCATAACTTCGGGCACGGGTTGTAAGTCCCTTCATTCAGCACCATCATAACTTCAAACGGTCGCTGAACAAATGGTCGTAAGTCAAGGACTACCTGTAGTCTGATAAAGAGACTATGAGGGAGAATTTTAATATCTGTTTGTAGGCAAACCTGTACAAACCTGTTGCTTTTCTCTTTGTTCAAGAACACAAATGCTTTTTTGCTTGAATGATCAAGGCATCTTATACATTCAATAAATAAACAAGCAAACAAACAAACAAACCTGTATATGCTAGATGTAGCAGACTCCAGTAGCATTTGGTAATCCAATGCTACTGAGTACCACCTGAAGGTAAACTTCAACACAGGCAATTAAAAAAGAAAAGGAAAATCCTGTAAAGCAAAGTTAAAACACAGAGCACTAGAGAAAAGGTAGCAGAGAAATATATTTTATAGATTTTATAAAGAACAAAATTATTTCTAAAATCTATAAAAATCTATAAAATCTATAAAACAAAAAACAATAGATTTTATAAAGGACAAAATTGTGAGGGTTCTTGCTAGCCTATCCCAGCCCTCACCAAGGAAAAACATATTACATGATGACAAGGGCATTATTGCAAATGGCACTTTCATGGAAAGGGGTAGCACATGCATATCTGGAGGAACATGATCTCCTGCACACAGTTATTTTAGGAAAAAAGAGCTGCTTAATGGAACAGTGCTCATTTATCTCCTATCCTAGCCTTTTGTATTTGAAGATAAGCATTTCCTAGTTGGCAAGTAATGCGGGGGGAGGGGGCAGGGGGGAGGCAGGAGAAAGAATAGGCTACCTTAAGTTGGCCAGTGAACTCCTTCACTGTGAGGAATTTGATGTTCTTCTGAATGTTTATTACTTTGAGTATACAACCTTCTGCTCACCCATATCTAAGTACGATATCTTCCTGCCAATGGTGTTCATAGCAGTGTCAGAGCTGCTAGCATGAGAGTGAGAGCTTATTTACATACTCCATGCCTCCAGTTTCTCATAATCAGATACACCTTAATGCCATTTCCTAACTATCAGAAATTTATTGCCCCAATTTCTATATAACCTACTACTTCTCATTTTTTAAAAAATGCAGTTTAACCCTTTTCATATTTAGCATTAATCTAATTGTAAGCAGCGAATAAACAAACTACACTGACTAATAAAGTTCAACGAAAATATAAGATGACTGTTTTGAACTTTTTTCCATTATGCTTAGGGAAGATTAATTTGATTTAATCTAGGTTTAGCCACAAACACCACAATTCATTGGGAGAAAAGCTATATCCTGACATGGGATATAGAAGAAGCAAAATATATTTGTTCAGTGTACATCTCATGAAGGGAGCAGCTGACACTTGCATTATATTGTGGATTTTAGTGTATATATTGAGGCTAAACCACTATAAAACAAAATATGTGCCAGAAAACATACAATAGTATTACTGCTGTTGTTACAAAAATCCCATAAACAAAGAGGCACTCAGAAATATTCTGAAGCCATTTCAGTCAGAAAACAAATCAATAGCTTATATTACTGATTACTGAATTTTTAAAAAACTTACACCCCGAACAACTCTCTAGAGAGGACTGATCCAGGCAGGTGGTTTTCTCATCACAAAAACCAGTCACCATATTACAAAGTGAGGAGTCTCTGCATACTGGACATTCTTCTTCACATGAAGATCCATAGCGTCCTATTGTGCAACCTAAAATTGAGAAAATGAAAATGAGGTCTTAGCAACAAAATTTTAATTTTTAGATAGATGATAATTTCTTTCTTATTGTTTCTAAAAAAGTATATTTTTGGATAATTTACTTTATCCTATCCTATGTTTCCATCCTGTGATAGCTTCTATCCTATGACAGCCAGTTTGGTGCAATGATTAAGGCATCAGGCTAGAAACCGAGACACCGTGAGTTCTAGTCCTGCCTAGGCACAAAGCCAGCTAGGGGACCTTGGACCAGTCATTTTCTCTCAACCCTAGGAAGGAGGCAATGACCAAACAAAAGAAAACAGCCACTGCTTTATCATATCTAAGGCAGAAACGTGGATCCAACACATTGCAATGAATAATTACAATTTTAAAAACAAATTATTTGTTCTCTTTCCACACGCTTATCAACTTCTAAAGTATTAGGGTCAACAAGTCAAATTCCTGACATGCCAGAGGCCTACAGAAGGCTATGCACTGATAGGAAGATGTTACTTGAAAGGATAAAAATTTGAGTGCCCTGTTGTTTTTCTTCATTTGGGGGGACTTTTTTGGACGTAAATGGCAGCAGTTCATCTCTCAGAGGTCTCCTGCTCTCATTCTCAACATTTTTAGGGGGAAAAAGCAGGGATAAAAATCATGCCTTTGAAATTTAGCTGTGACTCCAAGGTGCTAGAGGCCACGAATGGCATTACATCTAGCTTGGAAGTTGCCCATCCCTCTTTTTTATGTATGTTACAGAAACCAAGAGAAAAGTTATTCTAAAATATATATAATTCACCATTAAATGTTATGTCATTACAAGAGCTATGCATAGTTTGAAAATGATTTGGAACAAATGCTTTGGACCTTGTGTGAGCAACAGCACACCTCTGCTATTCATTAAAGTAGTTCAACTTCTTTCAGGTTTTCACATGGGCCTGACAGAAGCATGCTATGGTCCTTAAGAATCCACTCATTAATGCAACTCTTATAAAGCAGTATATCTTTTCAAGATCATGCAGAAACTTGAGAAAGTAAGGTTACCATAATGAATAGCAGAAAAGTGCTGAATTTATGCAAGATCAAATGTTTTGTTTCAAATCAGTTTTGAAGCAAGCAAACCCCTCATGTAATCACAATCTGGCCACTCAATCTGGATTTTTGACATGATTGTAATTTGCGACCTTCCCTACCAGCTTCCCACAAGCAAAGGAAGCCGGCAGGAAGTTTGAAGCCGTGATCACATAAGGTCCTCACTTAACAACCCATGCAGTCCTTACTTAACAATGGTAACTGGGAACTATTGGAACTGTCATTACTAAGTGGTGCAGTCATGTGACATCGCGCTTTATGATCACTTCACTTAGTGATGGAAATTCTGTGGCTGGTGTGGGTCTTCCGGGCTGTGTGGCCGTGTTCTGGAAGTTTTGTTTCCTA